GTCTGAGAGTGTTTTGCGTTTAGACGGTAGAATTCAGTAGTGGGGAGACATTGACTGACTTCTATTCTCCCCCCAGGACCCGGCATTGCGTTTGTGGTGTACCCCGAGGCTCTCACCCGCCTTCCTCTTTCCCCTTTCTGGGCGATAATATTTTTCCTCATGCTGCTTACTCTGGGGCTGGACACAATGGTAAGACCTCCGGAGCTCATTAGTCAACGCTGACTTTACCGAAATATAATTCCATGTTTCCTGCTCAATGAAAATAAGAGACAGCAGAATAGAGTTGGGAGCAGAGACAGCAGATGGAGTGGATCTTATTGATCATATCATTAGCAATATTAGAAGATTATTAGTAATCATCACCATGGAAATTATTAACTAAACCACAAGAGAAAATAGGAGAAATCAATTTATGTTACAACTAGAGATGAGGAAACGTCTCAATGTATCACCAACACATATGAACATTCATGGCAATTGCTACTTCTGATACAATGAAATGTGACCTTTTTTTGAAACAATGTTTCTACCACTAGTCGGGTTCTTAAAGAATTCCAGGCAATCTATAAACGAACCCTTGCAATGTGGGGATAGCCGTACTGCGAGAGTTACTTTCAAGAATGACTGGAGATCTTCTTTAAAGGAGAACTATGGGGTTAAGGCTTTTCCTCATAGTTCTCCTTGGGGTAACGGGAGGACACAAACTAGCGTCCTCCCGTCACCCTAAGCTCAGTATATAGGGAGCTGCTGCTCGCGGTATACTGAGACGCCGCAGCTGAAGCGGATCCCGACACTACTGTCTGGATCCGCCCAGCTGCGTGAGTGACAGCTGGCTCTGCCTATCTAGAGGCAGAGCCAGCTGTACCCGCCCCCTCCCCCGTCCGTTCCGCCAGTCAGCGCTAGAGGATCAGAGCGGGGAGGGGGGAATCCAGTCCCTCTCCTGTCACGACTCTCTGCCGGCACAGGATCGAGAAGTTAGCGAGCGCCGGTATGTGTTCGCTCACCTCCCGATCTACTGAGCCGACCTGTGACAGTCTCATTGTCACAGGTCGGCTTAGATTATGAGGCTGAGTGAAAAGCAATCACCTCATAGTTCTCCTTTAAGTTTCCTGTAAAGTAATCGGAATTAAAACAAATTAAATTATCATATAATATCATAAAGGAATAACACGCTGGCTTAGCTGGAGATGGGCGGGCTGACTGACAGGCGGATTCCGGGTCTAGCACATGTGGATCAGGCCGGGATCTCACGTTCAGGCTGTTGAGACTCTCCCTTCGCACTTCTTAGTTGACCAGCACAATGATTTTATCCTGCAGCCAGGACTTATAATGTCAGCTTTTTGGGCTGGATGGATTTTTAACACAAGTAATATTCAAGCAAAGTAGCCTCTAGACATGTAGGCTGCGGAAACATTCAGTTCGGATATTTCATTATTTCGGATTCGGATCCGAAATTCAATTCAGTTCAGGTTTCGGATTCGGGGGAAATCCAAATTTTTGTTAGTTTCGGAGGAGTTTACGAATATTCGTTGCGAATATCACAGAAAACCAGAAACAGATATTAATACGAAAGCTGAATCTCCCAGACCCGAATGGCATTCTGGATCCGAATTTCTGATTTGCATTCGGGGAGCTCCCAAATGCCTGTCGGGTCTTTAGTACTATATGTATTTGGCTCGCAGACCTGTATGGCATTTGGGAGCTCCCCGAATGCAAATCGGAAATCTGGATCCTGGATGCCATTCGGTTCTGGGAGCCTCCGCTTTAGTATTATATGTATATAATGTATATGGCTCCCATGTTGCCGTAACGAAAATTCGTGTGCTGACCCATTCGGATGCATTAAACCGAAAAACACATCTGATTGGACAGAAAAGTCACATGTCCCATTCAGTTTAGTATCTGAAAGAAATTCGGATGGGATCTGAAATTCAGAAATGGAAATTTGGATTCGGACGCATTCGCATGCATTGGGATTTGGAAATTCGGATTGGGTCCGAATTTCGGAAAATTCATTGGAATTTTGATTCGGAACAAAACGAATGGCACGTGTCTAGTGGCCTCCTAATGGACAATTGCAAATAAGAGTTCCTAGAACAATAAAACACATTTTATTGTATGCTCATTGATGCAAATGGGGCTCATCACAGCTGTTGGATATTATATGGTAATGTTAAAAGAAAAACTATGAGGTCAGGGCTTTCCCCCATAGTTCTCCTTAGGGTAACGGGAGGACACAAACTAGCGTCCTCCCGTCACCCTAAGCTCAGTATATAGGGGGCTACAGCTTGCGGTATACTGAGACGCCGCAGCCGGGACGACATTACTGTCAAGGTCCACCCAGCTGCGTGATTGACAGCTGGCTCTGCCTATCTAGAGGCAGAGCCAGCTGTACCCGCCCCG